CTGGGGCCAGACTTTTTCAATCTGCGGGGCTGCGCAGGAAGCTCGGGCTGGCGAGGAGGCAGGAAACCAAGGGACTCTGAGCCCCCAGATCCCCAGGATGCCCCATGGGGAGGCGCGCGCAGAGCATCAGTGTCTGCCTGCCCGCCGGCTGGGTCACGAGGGGTGGGGGTCCTGTGATCCCACCCAATGCGGAATCAGTGCGGTCCCAGGCCTGCATTGGGGACGGAGGGGGGACTCCTTCACCTCCCCGAGGCCCTCTGGGCTGCGGTTCCCGGCACTAGCTTGGCCAGAGCTGGCCTGGGGCTGCAGTACCCTGGCCTCACCCACCCTGACTGCCCACATCTCTGGGTCTGCCCTCCCTCCGAGATCTCCCGCAGCTAGCTAGCTCCCTTCTCTGTTCACGCCCTCGCCCTCTGCTTGGGCCTGCAGGGGTGGGGGCGGCTGCTGAGGGAGGCCTGTTAGGACTGAGAGCTTGGGGCTTCAGTCCTGGGGCCTGCTCAGCCCAGGGAGCAGGCTCCCATAGGATCCCCTCTGCACCCTGGGGTGGAGTGGAGATGGATAGAGTGTACAGGGTGCCCACCCCAAGGCAGGTCAGAATCAGATAGAGCAAAGCCACTAGATGAAGGCACTCCCTTGGCCCACCCCCATGCACACCTGAAAGCAGGATGGGGAAGTGTGTTTCTTGGATTCAGATAGTGCCCAGGTGGGGCTGGCCTTTGAGTGGTGGGTTCTTGTCTGTGTCCCTTGTACTCTCCAGAGAGCCATGGAAGGTGGTTCAGGAGGAGCCATGGACATGGTAAAGATGGGTCCCCAGAACTGGATCAAGGCAGCTGCCCCTGGGACGCAGGACACTTGAATTGGCCCCTTACCAGGGTCCCAGTGGTGGGGATTGCCAAACATTGGCTACTGCAGAAGAAGGGACCAAAAGCTGTGCAGTGTGAGGAGCAGATGGTGCCCAGAAGTGGCTTGTGACCCCCAACCTTTGGCCCTTGGTCTCACCTTCCTGGAACTGCCTGTGCCTTTTGGGGATATCTGGACACAACTCAAGCTGTTGGGCCCCCCAGACCCATAAGTAGGAAGTTGTTCCAGCCTAGATCATGACCAGCTCCTAAAATTTCCGGTGTTGTTGAATCATGGGCAGTCAGGATGAGCCTCACAGATGATCTTTCCAGTCCTCTGAAATTTACATGAGCATAGGAATTGCTTGGGGATCACCGGCACCAGGCCCCAGAACATGCATTTCTAACAAGCTCCCAGGTACAGCCACTTGAAGTGGCTGCCACACCCGGCCAAATAGGCAGGAATGTCCTGGTCAGCTGGAAGCAAGGTTCTAGCATCTGTAGCAGAGCTTAGGATTTGGAGTAAAGTCCTGGTAGGAGGCTAATCCATAGCATATTGGTTGTGTCGTCTTAGGCAAGTCACATCCTCACTCCGAACTTGAGTGTCTTCCTTGGATACCTAGTCCTGCCAGGCTGAACACAGGGCTGAACCGAGACCAAGTGAGGCCACATCAGTGCTGTCCTGATGGAGTCGGATCAGTGTTCATAGCGGGGTGAATCCACCAGCAGTATCCATGGAGCAGACTCCCTGATTGCTCCAGGGTTAGGTGAATGCCTTCCTGGCTGGAGACATTTGGAGCTTTCTGTAGGGAACAGTATGAAGGCAGAAGGGCTTTGAACGAGCTGGACCCATCCTGAATGGGTGTCAGCTCGGAGCTGGCTCCTCTGGGAAAACCCAGTGTCCCAGATGCACCAAGCTTTGAGGTACCTAGTTTCCTTTGCTTGACTGCAGCTGTTCTGCAGGGTGGCCGGCCATGTGCCTCAGCACAGGTCTAGAATGCAGCCATTTCCTGGCTCTTTGTGGGTGCACATTTTTATGGGTGCACACACAGCCCCGGTGGTCTAGGGCCTGTATGAATCAAGTAATGACATTTCATTTGGGACCCTGCTTCTCCCAAACTGCCTTCGGAGTGAGAGTCTACCGTGTGGCCCAAAGGGTATTCTCCTGGGGAGGGACCTGGGGCTGCACCTGGCCAGGCCTCCAGTTGTGAGAACCGGCCCGTCCTCTGCCCCTCTGGGGGCTGTAGGTCCTGTGCTGCCTGAGTGCCTGGCCCTAAGCTGGCTGTGGATTCTGTCTGAATAGTACATCTGATATTAGGAGCAGAAGACGTGAAATCAAGCAAGACGAGAGGCGTCGTTGGAGGCGCATTGAGACGCAGCGCTCCAACAGGCAAGCTCGCTAAACCTATAGTCTTTGGAACTGCAAATTAAAAAATGAGAGCTCAACCAGTGGAATTCCAGTATTTCTGTTAAAGCATCACTAGCCTTTTCCTGCAGGGGAGGCTGGACCCAGGTAGGCTGGGGACCGGGTGGTGTCCTCTGAGACACACGACTCTGTAATTAATTACAAGTGCCCTTCTCTGGGCAGCGGTGGTGGTAGTTTCCAGTTCTGACCATCAGGACAACTTTGGGTTACCAAACACCGGGGTAAATCCAGGTTGGTGGGGCTCTGGCACTTAGTAAGAGCCCACGGGAGGTGGTCCTGGCCTGGATCACTCTGCAGCCTGCATTGAGGCCTGCCCTGGCTTTCCTACCTGCCCACTCGACCACCAGGAGCCCCAGGCACTTGGGGACCTCCACAAGTGCTCGTTGGCTCCCTGCAGGGCTGCCCCAGTCCATGGTTTCCCTAGGGATCAGGCCCCCCTTGGGGATCCTTACATTATTGTCCCTGGTGCATTGCGGCCAGCAGGAGATAGGGCTGACACTGGTCACCATTCAGGGCAGGGAGGACCCCATCAGAAACTCCGAAACCTGAGCAAGGCCCCCAGGAAGGCGCCATCTGGACTCCAGTGGTGGCAAGATTCAGAGAATTAGAGGAAAGCGCACCTACAAGATGGGATTGTGTCAGGGTATCGCTTTATTGTTAAACTGCAGTGTCTTGTGAAAGAGTCTTATTACTCCATCCCATGGCAAAGCTGGTAGGTGGCTCAGGGGGAGACATGCAAGTGCCTTAGGTAGAGAGGCGCATCCAGGGGCGAGGGATGGACGGCTGGAGGGCTGCAGGTTGGCGGGAGAGCCCCTGGCCCTAGAGAGCTGGAGGACCCCGCCTCCCCCAGGGAGGCCACGTGAGTCCCGCTGACCTTACTGCCTCTGTATAGCTCAGGTGAAGTCACCACAAGCCAACCCCGGAAGCCTCCGCGGAGGATGCAGCGTTCCCTTCCCCCATCGCAGCTTCTCAGAGTCGAGGATAACTGTGTCCCTCGGGGCTCCACCACGGAGGGGCCGGGGGACTCTGGGTTCCCCGGAAGCTCTGTGCTTATTAATAATGCTCCCCTCTTTGCTCTGCGGTGGGAACACTGCCCATCACAGCAGTTTTTAATAGGGATTAATTACCGTAGCAAACGCAACACCACTTTTACACCTTGTGCACCCTGGTGTTGTCTCCTCCCTGGGCTGTTGGCGCGTCATGTGTAGACTGGGTGTGATGCTGGGAGCCCCAGCAGAGACATGCTGGCTCATGGTGACACAACTGGGTTGGTGGAGAGGACCCCATGGCTGGCGGGAGGGAGACACAGCGGCCACTTGTCCACTGTGACTTCAGGAGGTCATCACCATCCAGATATGCCCGCTGGCCAGAATCTCATCCCCCAAATCATCCTGTGCCCTGGAGAAGGCACCCAGACAAGTAGCTGCAGTGGCTCTGGACGAACCTACCTGGCGGCCCTGTGCCCTTCTCCCCTGGAGCCTTTAGGGACAAAGGATAGCACTTCCTCTTGGCCGCCCGGCCTTGAGACACCCATTCCTACTGTGAAACCCCTTTACCGATGCCTCTGATGGTAGCTCCATCTGGCCTGTGGGTTCTTCCCGGTTTCTAACCTTGCAGGACATGAGTGTTCCTGAGTCTGCAGGGCTAATACCGGGCACACATGTGCATGTTTCACAGCTAAGGAAACTGAGGCACCAGAGTTGGCCAGCACGCAGTCAGAAAGCTACCAAGGAGCAGAGCTCGGGTTCCTGGCAGCCAGACTCCAGAACTGAGGCCCAGTCAGCCTCACATTCTAATGAGTGATGCAGGTTCCGTTCACTACGATTCCTTCCGCTCCCGACCACTTTCTCTTGGCTTGAACTCTGGCTTTCCTGTGGATCTTTAGCCTGGGCACTCCAGCCCCAACACCGGGTGATGTCTGGGAGATTCCTCTGGCGTGGAGGAAGTGGGGGTGGCCTGTCTTGGAGCCCTGATTCTGTGGGGTGGGTGGCATTCTGGGTGTGGCACAGAGCATATTGTCTGGCTGGACTAGGATGAACATGGC